GGGTAAGGTAATGATGTGTGGCTTTATCATCGTACCGCAGTAAAAATGTCCCAAATGCATAATTAGGAGTTACGCACTCCAGGATGTTCAAAATCCCGTGGCATTTAAACAAATATTTTAGCTTCGTTGTCCGGAGTTATCTTCCTTGCCCATGATACGCGTAGGTGGTGTTATGTGTTTGGTTACCTGTACATAACATTGTTAAAATCTGACCTGAGCTTGTGGGTTGTAAGGCGGAATGTTGTGGCGGAAGGTTGTAGCGGGATAAATCTGCTTCTCTTTGAGAGTAATGGCAGGTTTTTTGCCCTGTACGTGAATTTAGTGTGGGCGGAAAAGTTGGCGAGTATATCTTTGTTGCGAATTACCAGCAGTAAAAATCTGACGAAACTCCAGGGGGATTCGAACTCGTAACCTCCCGGCCAGCAGTTGGAGGTTGGTTGGCAAACATCTTATTCTTCAACCAGTAGCCAGAAGGTTAAGAGTTTTGAGCTCTCTAGGGGTTTGTGCGATGCTTACTGCTGATGATTTAGAACAAGGATGAAGCAGCTGTGCATATCGGCTTTTCGTCAGAGATTAACTTCACTTACAAGGCAAGAGTTTAATCTGCCTATTAGATCAGACATATACTGGTGTTTATGGTTGCAACGGACGCTAGTGACCGCGGTATCGGCACAGTTCCAAAGCAAAGGACTGGAGTCATCGAATATGCCAGTCGTGTCCTGACTAACCCTAAGCAGAAGTTTTCAACAACTGAGAATGTTTAGCGATCGTCTGGGCCCTGGACAAGTGGAGAACATATCTGCTTAGACAAAGGTTTTATGTCAAGACCGACCACAAACCCATGGAGTGAATCAGGATCACCAGAGATTCTCACAAAGAGCTCACGCGCTGGGCACTGTGATTGCAAGAGTATGACTTCGCTTTCCTCCTCACATTGGTAGGATGAATACTGGGCAAACTGTTATGAGTAAATAATCATGCCTCATTCATACACCTAAAAGACTTGATTTGAAGGTACGGTAAAATTTTGTTTGTCTGTTTTGTTTTCACACCTTCAAAGCAAAAGCCGCCTGCACATCCATTATTATTGCATTTATTTTATTTATACTGGTAGACGCTAGAAGCATAGTCCTTTAGGTTGGTCAGTTAAATGTTTACAACAGGTATTTGTTTGGTCGGAGGTTGACCGGTGATAATTACCTTAAGATCGTCGGTCATGGATTGGCCTAAAATGTAAGATGATGATTCATATTCGTTAGAATGAATTTCCACCATGCCATTCCGTTATGAGCGGTGCCATTCGGCCTACTGTATAGGCAACCTGTGTTACTTTCATCCAGTTCGCATTTTCTGTGGACCATCAGAATAATACAGCAAGATACCGAATTATATTCCCCAATTCTCTTCACAGTTCTCTTCAAGATGGTACGCTAAATCCGTTTTGTATGTGAAAGAATTCTCTTCAAAGTGAATCCACTTCCATAAACTATGAATGAGTCCCGGTTTTTTCTCCGTTCTGCTCTTATTTTCACAATATTTTATTCTTGAATACACTTTCTCATCCATCAGTATAATTTCCAGACCTGAAAGGAGAGAAAATTTCCGCAAATTGGATTGACCCCGTTCCTCCAAAAACTGAGATTCGTTGTTGACTCTTCGAGGGTACCAGCAAGGTAGAATTTTGGATTTACATTATTTAACTACGACCATCGTCCATTTGAGAAAACTTGATAAATTGATTCACGAGCACAGTCACTCGACCAATCAGTTTACAGAGATTACAAAGACAGAGTATATTTGGCGCTACGGGCAATACGATCAGAAGTGATATCCGAACTACTCAAAACCAACGTTCATCCGAGTAAGTGTTAACAACAAATGAAGCATATTTTATTTTTGTTTAGTTATTGAAACCCGATACAACTGGGCCAGATTATCCTCACTCTGTGGTCGTTGCCCAGAGTAACGTCACACAAACACGGAACTTGTTATCGTATGTGCCTGATCATTTTGGCAATGAGGTTGTTATTGTGTACTCAAGCTATATTGGGCATAAGGTAGTTGACGAAAATAATGGACAATTTTTTGATTTTTTGTCGATATTTGAGCAAAAACCAGTGAGTGTAAATCATTCAGCAACAGTTAGCCGAGCAAATTCAATCAACCGACAAGGCTTACATTTTAGTTTACTTGCAGTCTTCTTACTGTTTGACCATACAGGCTGCAATCTGTTTTCACTATCCATCCAAAGCCAACGCCAAGTAAATATTTTCGTCTTCCAAGATGACCAATCTCGATCACACGACATACTGCTTGTTTCAAGGTTGTAGCCCTTTCGGTCGCTCGTAGCACGGGGCGCATGAGAATCACTTGTTCGACCTAAAGAATCTCCACCAGCCTGCAAGTAGACCTTCTGACCAAAACGAAACTTTCAAAGACCTTTTTGTACCCTATGTCACCTCAAAATAGGGTGATATTAGTGAAGAAGAAACTCCTGAATTGCATGCTCCCCTAACAGGCAAACTACCTTGCTCGGTCTCAGCTGTTTCCAAATATGAGGGTTTAGGCTTCTCACAGGGCCGGAGTCGCAGACGGTAGACAGGGTGATAATTCAGAGCTCCAGAATGGTCTCGGTATCTGCCGGCGCTTCAGTGGAAATGAGGGAAATTTACCCCCTGGTTGAAATACCAACCAATCCGTCAATCTTGAGACAGCGGAGTGACCAAGTTTTCCTCGTAGCTTGGAACTTTTTGGAAAATAAAGAGAGAATAAAAAGTGATGACGCTGACCAAAGAAGAAACTTTGCAAGGATAACGTGGATATTTGAGAGAATAATACCCTAGCTGTGTAGGATTCTCTAGAGCTTCAAACCAATGATGATCCTCAACATGAATGAAGGAGTTAGGCCATATTATTAGGCTTTTATGGTAGATTGACTTTAAATGTAGGATGAAACTTAACAGAAATTTCCAAGTCAGTTCAATTCATCATCAGCCTAATAAAAGAAGTGCGTGAAGCCAGAATGACAAAGTGGGTTTCGTTTCGCACTTACCTGAAACAAAGTTAAACCCACTATTAACCAGCAACCATAAATGCGGTATCTAATTGATCATGTTTTGTTCTGCATTAGTATGGAACAGAATAGTTCAGGCTATTCATCATCCCAAACGTCCATTTAGGAACAAAGACTTGCGAAACGTTTAATATGCAATCATGGTGTCCACTGATTTATGATACATCGTTTTTAGATTCCAACTACAGGTGAATGGTGAACGAAAGCCCAGTATTCTCCCGATCCGGGGCGCTCTGCGTGACGATATCGTTTTGGTTTCTACCATAAACCAAATCCACCATGTAGAACTGTCCAATGATAGGAGCTGATGAAATGAAATTTGATGTTTATCGCAAGATTTGAGGCCTAGCTATCTAGGATTATATCAGTTATACGCTAGTAGTAAATGATTTTTGTGCAAAACAAATTGCTGAAAGTCTGGGCACTGCCGGCGCGACTCGTCCTTCAGGATGAGGTTCATCTGATCCTAACGGTAGATGGTTGGAGACATTGGGAATTACGTCTGCTAGTCGAGATCAGTGGTGTTCTCGTTGTCAGCTTCTTTCCAGATCATCTGAATAAATGTCTAGAGGCGTGTACACCCGGAATAACTGTCTGTTTAAGATTAAGTAGCCTCCTTATTCATTTTCAAATAACTTATGGTTATAATGCAGCAAGGCATCATTCTATAACGCTGACACCATGTTCTGCATGATGATATTAACGGATACAGGTTCCGTCCCACTTGCATGATGAAGGCAAGTTCTGAAGGCTTTATTACTCCTCATAATTAGCATGTCCTCAAGATCAGCGTGATACCTCCACTCACTAACTCCATGGCTGTGTACGTCTAAGAAACTCTCTCTCACCCTCTTTAGCCTACCCGTTGATAGTTGTCACACTACTGATGGAACACACTACTCATAAGGATGCTAAAAACTGATTGTCAATGCAATATTTGTTCCGCTTTATAAGGTTAAGGTAGGTGGTGGACGCAGTTAATGAACTTTGACCAACCACACGCTTTACCCGACCACGAAAATTATATGCAATTGATGCGATACACTAAGTTGACAGCTAAGTTGTTGTTCATGGGAGGTGTGTAATCCGTCGACAAAGCACATTGTAACAACTGAAATGTGAGATAACTACTATGGGACGCATTCAGTTGAAGAATACCACAAAAGAAAGTTTTCCTTGAATAACTCGGTAACATCAACTTAATTTGCAACTGAGTGCATTACTCCGCCGGCTGTCATCGTTTTTAGTTTGAGAATAAAAACGCGAAGTTTTTGCTTCTTAACATATGCAAGTAACATAGGTTGAGAATAGGGGATGAGACACTTTAGGCCATTAAGACCAACATGTGGGCGAAACTAGCAAGTAAAGGAAACCACGGAATCCGCTTTTCCGTAGGAAGGAAAATAGAACACCTGGGCATAGAAAAATCAGACCATTTGTTGCAGATTACACAAGTCTCATGTTGTTTTCCACGGCACGGGTTCAAATGCCACCTTACTCTGTCAGATCACCGTGTAGAGCGGGATGAACAGCTTTTTACCAGTCGCGGAAAAACGAAGTTAATTGAAGAACAAAAAAGGAAATACTGGTTGTGTCCATAGGGTTTGCCATAAAGTTTTCCCTCCCTCAGGTGAGAAATAAGTTTACGTCATCCACTGTTAAAACAGCAGGTGCAAGAAATCTTGAAGACGATGCGATTCGGCAGTCCCATAGAGTGCTCCCAGATGGTGAGTTCAGGCCAAATCGTCCACGTATCAGCTCAGGAGGTAGCTCCATTAGGACTAGCCGTTGTCAGGCATGTTATAAAAACGCATCTTCAACGATGATGCAGAGATTTCTGGGTGGCATGGTTTACATCACACAAACAAATTGAACCAACCCGGCGTGCCATCTTCATTGCAGCAACCATCATCAGCAATATCATGTACTGTCCTGAACAGTGCCTGACAGCAGTGATCCCTCTTGCAACTGATTCGATTTACAACAAAAATGAGCTGTATTAAGGTCGGAAGACCTATTATTTGGGTTGTAGAGACGATAAATGAAAAGTGGCGCTTTTTGTAGAATGGATTGGCGTTTATTTGTGACTAAGACACGCTAACACTTTACGAAGTGCATTATTTCCTTCATTTGGATAAACGGCATCTGCCACTCACTAAATGTGCAACTTGCGTCAATGCCCGATCACCATACATTCCTGTTCAGTCTTGCAGTGTATTCGCAAGGTCACTCTGTCCGTGATTCTCTGTGTCGACATCTGCGGTACATGATCAGGTAACCAAGGTTGGAATGCCTGCAGTGAAAATGGTTTCAGGTAGGCATATTTTTTGCACACGTTAACGCAAAGCAAATTTTCGTTACTGCCACTGGAGATTGGTTCAACGGAAGCCAATTTTCAGAGGTAAGTGCGGTCGATTTATCTGTAAGACTTTCGAGATTGCCCCCGCTATGGAAGGCAGAGAGTTGCAACAAACAATTGCGTCGAGAGTAGCCGGGTAATTTCTTCCCAGGTTTGTACGGCTAACCAATATTCAGTAACCTGTCTTGATAAACTTGAATGAAGAGTTAGTTCGGCACAGATTATTGGGCATTTCTATGCGTTAAGTGCTTTCAGTCAAACAGCAACAGTTCGTAGCGTGGAAGAACAATCAATCAACAGGTAGGTATTAGTAAACGTTGGTGCTGTTAATTCATGCACTCCAGATACTTCACAGCCACAGGAGGAAGGGTATATCCTATGTGCACAGTTCCTTGAACTTCTAAATTGTTTTGCGTCAGGGATAAAATAAGTCTCCAGAATTATCAGAAGTTTCATTTGCTGGGTAGATGTCTGGCCATTTTCATTCCATGTTGCTTACACTTTGACCAGGTCACCAGGATAATGTTGTAAAAGTGGCCGTAGGTGTTCCGCGCCGTATTTCTCAGGATTGAGCTCGAATAAATTTTGCACACTGTGCGACGTGCGTTTAGGTTGATTGGTAGAGACATACAAAATTACTTGCGCAGTTTTTTTCACAACTGAGCGTTTCGATCACCATGGGCGACCTTTTGCCAGGAACGAATCAATCGGAATCCTTTGTAATTCCAATTATAGCCACCCATCTTGAATCACGGAATCCATATCACGTGGTCACGTGCTGACTGGCTCCGCAGGTAAAATTTGCACTCCTACGGTAACATTATAATTCCGGGTTATCCGTAGACTGTTGGCAGTGTAAGGAGTTTTGGACATTTTCAACGAGAATTTCATTGTCAGTGAAACCACTCTACTCTCAAATCTTCCTCGACTTTCATGAGGTGAGCAGTGCTGATGAATCCCACTAAGGATAAAGCAACTATGTAGTGCTACTGAGTATTTCAGCAAAGATTGAACTTCACTCACATAACGAAATCCCAATATGAAATTCCCAAGTCATCTCAGGAAAGTAAAAATCAGATTTCATTCGCTTGCCCATGTTCGACCACCCACTAACGATAATACTATTCCAGGCATTTGCGACCAATTGTGAGATAAGAGAAACCACAGTGTATGGAAAGTTTTGTTAGTGAAGGCGTCAACACTCATCAAATTACATTCAGGTGTGAACGCAAGTCACATTTCTCATAGCAGTGGCATGACAATTGTGTTCTGGATTGTTTAAGCGATAGAAGTCGGGCCAGCCAATATTTTCAATGAATCTGCGCAATCACTTGGTGATCTTAAGAGGGTAAACGCGAGGCTGAGTTGAGATGATGGATGGTATGTCATCGAATCGTACAAGTTGCATACAAACAGGGACAGAAAATGTCATTTGGTCCAAGCAAACACAAGAGGCAGTTGTGGGTGGGAGACGGCTTGTGTACACATCATGTAAACCACACAGTTGGATAATCGTTCACATTCTCGTTCAAAGCGTGGCAGTGTAGACGAATGCATCAGAAATTCTCAGCAGCATGACTGCTTTTTAGGGTTTAGGACACTGTCAATTCACTAGCTTAGTAAAACCGAAAATTTTCAAGGCGTATTCTACAAAGTCTATTCCTGCTTCCAAGTGATTCATCACTATTTGCCCCTGGTATTTTGGAGGATTCTACTATCCATCGTTTGGCCCGTCCGCCATAGTCACTGTTCTCCCATGGATTTGAAACCTCATAGTGCGCCTTCCCCTCATAGTGTCAACGATTAGGTAAAAGGTGAAATGAAAAACTAGCTACCCTTTTTGGACCTCAGTTTATTTGGAGAATGCCCATAACTTTTTACTACTGATTGCTCGTCTTCTAAATATGTGCACATCCTTGTAAAGATGCAATCACGAACTGATCGAAGTGTAAACAAGTTGCGCACACTGTTCATCAGTAAGCGGTTGACAAGATCCCTTTCAGCAACTTTGGAACGTTACACTTCAGCATTTTCGAATCAAGGTGGGAAATTTCCGGAACAGACGTGGAAAGTTTATTGCCTCCCAATTGCAGCGAATCGGACAATGAAACTAATAAGAAAACCAAAGATTGTAATTGGCTGCCTTGAGCTCAGAATTGTCACTTCCAACGGTGCGGAATCAGACTATGATCTGCGACCCATGATAACTTCATTCATCACTGTGACTTCGTTGCATAAATGAAGCAATCGTCAGCATTATTCTTCCAGACGGTTAGTGAACGCAAATCATTGAACCGCCTGAAAAGGACTTGTTTGAAACAGGGGATGTTATGTATCAAGTTAGTAACTGTGCTTCCGTTTGCCTCAGTCTTTCGGAAGTGAATACCTTTGAAAACAACAACCATGTCCAGAGTTTCTGTTGCATTTGAAAACCAGGAGAAACAGTATAGTTGCATTCTGGAAATTCTCGTTAAAGAGCTTGGAGAACGAAAAGTATCCGACCTCAGTGAGAGTATCAGTGATGTATCAGTCGACATTTCGAAGTCACTAACAGGTACCATCCCACGCAGATCTATCCGCACTTCCCAGGAGCTACGTCGTGCAAATCAAGCGTAGTTCTGTCCAGATACTCGACATGTTTGCGATAATCTTACATTTCGATAACTCTATGAACAACACTAAACATATGTGAGGCTAAAAGTAATATTTTCTTAGGTCTCGAAGCAACTTTTAGATCAGCTGATTTTGCTCCCTTGTGATTGTTGAAGAGCTCGTAGTCACCTCATAAATGACACGAAGTTAACTTAGGAAATATTCTGAATCGTTCTCTTTAATTTAAGGGGAAGAGTATCTGAGTAGCCGCAGGGCAGAGATCAGACACCTTAGTCTCGTCCACATCCCTCAAAACCCGCCCGGTGATTTTTGTCGCCCACAGCGACAAGACAAAGTGTGTAAACAGAAAAATACATCAATACAGAGACATTTCACCTGGTTTTTAAGAAGGCAGTAGACCAAAAACGCACTAGTCACTGGAGATAACAAACCAAATAATACTTGGTGAAATGGGCTTGTGGGGTGTCATGATATGTCTACGATTCTTCCAAGCTTCAAACTGATTTCGAGTTGTAAATCTGTCAAAAGCCGCTTTCTTTCACGTATGTTGAATGGCATCTCGACGATTAATACCTATTAAATTTGGGATGACCAGATTAACTGCGCTCTTATAAGGAGTAGAACAAATTTATATCTACCTATTGAACGATTTTAAAAAACTCAGCTTTTAGTAAAAAATATATTTCTGAGTTATCGATGATGTTGTCACAAGGTAGACGGTGCACCGAGGAGCCATTAGTGTCCAATCAGCTTGAAGCAGTGCCAGGATGTGTTCAGCACACTTTTCCACATCTTGTGAATATTACAATGGGCGACATGTCCCTATACACAAAGCTCAAAATCCAAAGTTTTTTTCTTCTGAATCCCATCTCTTCTGGGCGGCTAATCATATACCAGGCTCTTTGGCACATTCACTCACAAAGAGGGGATGCAGTTGTACTCAGAGTCACCAAAAAAATCGGGTATCAATGCATTTTAGTTTGCCTCGGTCCACCGAAAGTGACACTGAAACACGAATATAGGCCATTGTTTGAAGCCATCCATCAGATACTCGATAGGACTAGCAATTCTCACAATTTATTTCCCTGATAACGTAAAGGGTTGCAAGGTGAGCTCAAACTTTGTTATACTGAGCGATTAAAATTCAGTGATAGGGCAAACCAAGTGGATTCCTACTCACTTGATTAACCCTTTTTATTTCACGTTTTAGTCAACAGTACGGGGATTAGTATGATAGCGGCTATCTCATTCACCAAAACCTCTCTACTAAATACTCTTCTCTTGATGAAGCAGATCAAAGGAACAAGCGGTCAAAGTATAATTGCAAAGCACACCATTCCGGATGGGTTGTACAACCATCAAAGCACATGCCTGCTCCGCCACACAACGACGCGGACAGTGATGATATCAACTCGATTATTGCTAGGTGAAAAACTCTACCCCTAAGTGTTATACACTGCGGCCGATGGTCCGAAGGGTCATGGACTTTGATTTTGTCCACTTTTCTCAAGTAATGTTGAAAAGAACATATGAGGACCGAGGGACTTTGTACACCAGTATATCAGGATGAGTAGTTAGCAAACATCCGTTAATTTTGGAAGCCCCTGGTGCATCCCCTCCCGAAAGCCTGATAAGAAAAACGATGGAAAATCTCATCACGGTTGACTTCAGTGGTCATAATTTGTGGACAGCTTTTAAGCTGTCAACTTTTCGTTGATTTTACAGCTATATGATAGAAAGATCCAAGTGAGACATAACCCTCCGGTTTGCGAAAAATCTTCACAAACGGTCGAATTTTATCAATCAGGTGATATTTGTTGGTTACCGGATCATATTGTGAATGCCAGTATCTTTAAAACACTTATTTTTAGACTAACACAACATGTTCATCTAAAATAATACCACACTACTTTCTGACTGAATTCACAATACCAAAGCCGTCTAATATCACTAAGATATTAGGTAATTTCCTCGATACCGAACTACTTGCAAATTTGCTGAAAACTCTCGGACAGCACACTACAGACTGCGGAAATGTTGGAGCTTATCAGGTGAGGACACATGCAAACGCGCCACCATTAGCTTGAGAGGTGGTAATCTTGTGTAAACTAGCAAATGACCTGGTAATCATTAGAGACGCTGCTCGAAAGAAGCTTAAGTTCATCTTAAGCTCATCTTAAGTTCATCTCTACTTGCATGGAATGACAGTAAGCCTAGAAATGAAATGTGTTGTAATCGCTTATCTTAGTTGTTTTTAACCTCCACTTGGTCACCTCGCCGAGTTAAGTACACAAATGAATTGAGGTAAGGCAACACACACGATTCGGTGTGAAGGAGATTGGATCGTGTTGTTATTCGTATTTCTGGGAAACACAACGATAGAGGTGGAATGAAACGTGAGAATTGCAGTGCGCTGTTAGTATGAAGCGTGTTTTGTTGCAGCAGTGTTCTCGGGAAGCAATCTGAGCAACGCAAATTATCACTTTCAGCTGAGCGTCCGAAAAAGCAATGGCGGAAATCATTTACAGAGTAATTAATTTCGATAGAAGGTCAATTGAGATTTCAGCGGCTATATAAATGGTGAGTGGTTAGGTGACTTTAGCGCCTCTAACAGCGTGAGGCATTTAGTGAAAAAAGTGCTTTGCCAGATGTTACGAACCACTTGCGCTATATTCACAGGTGATACTTTACAGGCAATATGAAAACTTACCGGCTGCACGAATATGTGAGCCAGTTGGTTGACACTGGCTTATATATATATTACCAGATGATTGGATAGATTAGATAGATAGATAAATAGATAAACAGATAAATAGATAGATAGATGGATAGATAGATAGATAGATAGATAGATAGAGAGATAGATAGATAAGATAGATAGGTAGTTAGATAGATAGATAGATAGATAGATAGGTAGATAGATAGATAGATAGATAGATTAGATAGATAGATAGATAGATAGATTAGATAGATAGATAGATAGATAGATTAGATAGATAGATAGATAGATAGATTAGATAGATAGATAGATAGATAGATTAGATAGATAGATAGATAGATAGATTAGATAGATAGATAGATAGATAGATTAGATAGATAGATAGATAGATAGATTAGATAGATAGATAGATAGATAGATTAGATAGATAGATAGAATAGATAGATAGATAGATAGATAGATAGATAGATAGATAGATAGATAGATAGATAGATAGATAGATAGATAGATAGATAGTAGATAGATAGATAGATAGATAGATACTTTGATGACCCCGGGTTATTTGTGATTGACAATATACGAGCAAAGCAAAGATGAGTAGCAAATTAAATTGTCAAAATAAAACAATGAAAATAAGTACGAGACGCTTTGAAGTTCTTACATTAAAGAAGCAACGCCCTGAAAACAGAATAAGTGAATTTCTGTACACAAAAATAGGGTCACGCAAACTTTTGACGAAATTCCCTTGACGTAACCCAATAAGAAATATCTTTTTATTGTTAAATGTTTGAAGACACGGGTTTTGGATTATGTTTTTTTCAGTCTGAATATAATTATATTTAAAAGTATCAATTTGAGTGCACCATTTTTAGAATTGTATAAGGTGCCACGTCCCCCTAGATTCAGCTGATGAACCTTAGGTGCACGGTTTGGATTTAACGAGTGGCCGTCTTTATGCAAGTCAAAATAAATGGTGATACCTTGTCAAGCGCACGTTTTACCGATCCTGAACTAATTTAGTATCATTGATCCAATAGTATTCCCTCACCGGTTCTAAATTTAGTAAGCTATTTTGATTTGTGGGCTAACACAAAATTAGACGGGTTAATGGTATAAATGACGTCCGGAGATCAGTGAACTGGCAAAGAACACAAGAACGATATAGATAGAAATTAGTACCATTGATAGTTTACTGGAAAACGTTAAAGAGAACGAACGTACTCACCCCCGGAAACAATTCGGTTTTACTAGAATGGATAAATTTCGATGGGAAGAATACCCACTCTCTTGCGATTTGCTTGCATATGCGCACAGTTCTTTCGGAAAGGAACAAAGTGTGGTTGTTTGCCGAAGATGGCTTTTTACGCCCGTGATAATTTGATGACTTTTGATGAAACGAGACGTTCTGAAGTGAAAATTGTTTGAACGGCCCTTCTATTTGCCAGTTAAGACTGATTTCTGGTAGATCTGCTGGATGCTGACGGCATAGAAATCTATGTCCCAGCGAACCGACCCATCTTTACAGCCATCACTTGTAAATCGAGGCACCTGGATTCGGAACCGCTAATGTCCTCGCCATAAAGCGAATCTGCTTTTATGCGTTTTGAGATATGATACACCTGTGATGTGGCTTCCAGATTTTTGGTGTTCAGCCCCACCGCGACTGGTAACTGGATATCAGATTCATATAACTGTTCGTGAAAAATCACCCTAGCATGCGTTTTTTCCTCAATGAGACCGACAAGGCGGTTGTGGTGTGATTCGATCGTCTGATCTTCAGTATTAAATTCACATTAAGTGTTCACCCTTTATATGCACGCACAGCGAACTTTTTTGTACTTTCGATCCTGGACCACAAGTGCATTGTGCTTAACCATTTAAAACGCCCCGCACCAAGTTATTTCTTTTCACTGCAGAAAAAGAGTCTCCTCCAGTATCCTGAATTGGTTGTGAATTGGTTGACAGCCACAAATGATTACTCCTTAATGAGGATTCTCCCTGTAATTGAAGCCAATCTATGCTGGAAACCGAAGAAGCACTGCACAGCTGTTTTATCCTCATTTAGAATCCGTCCAAGTGCGATCAGCTGGGCAGCCGCTCGTGGCCGAAAGGTTAGGTGTTCGAACTTCTAGCCATGATGACACGGCTTAGAAAATCTCTGGGATTTTGTGAGGTGCTCACTCTCCACGATTCGCAATAGGGATGAAACGGTTGTACAGTGCTTCTCGGCCTTTTAGGGCAGATTGTTTTAGCTTACAGGCCGAATCAACCACAAAAATTAACTAATTGCCCCACATTACCAAAAATCACTATTGCCTTAAGATACCTACGGAAAATCTACATAATCTCACTAGTAAAACAATATCAATAGCTCGTCGTCAAAGGGAAACTTTTGAGTAGTTTGTTTGGTTTGCATGATATTGAACTGGAGTTTATCCGGAAAAGGTTGAGTGCAAGCAGGTGGCTAAAGAAGTTTTTACGCAGATATCTTAGTGAACACCAAACAACAGGAAAAGGCAGGCTAAAGGCTCTAGCGGTCTGTTTGGCCAGTTAACATTTAAAGCGGAAATGGTACCGAAAAGTCACGCACCATTTGTCTGAGACGGGAATCAACTGCAACGTTCATGAAGATACAGTTCAGCAGTGGCCGATTGAACAGCATCTACCTCAAGAATATGCTGTCGGTGCTACTCGCCTTCCAGGATGGGGACCGCGTGATCCCCACTGTGCCTGGTTGGAGACACTGCAAGATATGGCTGCCAACCGATGTCAGTGGCGTTCTTGTTCTCAGTTACTGTCCAGATTGCCTGAGTGAATGTCTGGAAGTGTAGGCACCTCGGAATGATTATGTTAAGCTAGCACTAAGTCCCTCCCCCATCCATCTTTATTCTTTTCTTTACAATGAGGCTTTCAAATAAGTCATGGTTGTACGGCAGTGAAGCATATGTATTGAACACTGATGTCACGCTGTCGATGATGATGATGATCTCAAGAATAAAATGCCTATGGACGATTCCGTGATTGTTTTTTACTCGTTTATTCGCAATAAGCTCACAAACTCTTCCCCAAACTCGGCTCTCTTAAACACTGTGAATCTCTAATCAGTTTGAACAAAACGGCGAGGCCATCGTTGCTTTGAGACCAATTCACCTAGCGTAATCCTTTTTACTGTTAAAACTTTAGAACGGAATTAAACGAACCATCTTACAGTGTTTTTTTGTCCGTACAAAAGTTCACGCGACTAGTGAATATGAACTCTTTCTGTACGCATCGCGAAGGGTGAATCAAGTTGAATCGATTCGTGAAAGCGATTCAATGAAATTCACTCGGTGTATCTGACTGCTTAGTGCTATGCCGTAACTGAACAGCCTTGCTCAGCCCTGATTCGCCCCGACCAGGTGCCTGGTGATTGAAGGTTTGACTTACGTCCTACAGAAAGGTAATTCAAGTTCATCTAATACTGAGCGAAACCGTTTGAACAGGTGCTTTCTCAGTCGAATTTCTTGCTTCCTGTCATTACTAAAATAGTATGTCACAGAAGCTACAGAAGAATGGATAGATCAGTGATTGGAAAATAAAACTTACATAGATGTTTTCATCCGTTCAATTGGCACAGAGCTCGGTGGTTTCAACGAAAGCGGAATATTTTCGTTCAGAGATGAAATTCGCTTGTTGGAACCAAGTCACTATACTTGGTGATGGCGACTTGGTTAGAAAATGCAAAGGGACAGCAATTAACAGGAACGAAGGACTAGAATCGAGATGGTCTACAGCCCATTCGGGTTCAGTGTTGCATAAGTTACTGTTTTGTTTTTTGCAACAAGATACTTGACAAATGAAGGACAGTCAATCTATGTTTGTGCCTTCATAGTCAGGATGCAGTCCAGTGTGAACAGTCCTGAGTAACTATTCAAGTGATGACAGGACATTGAAATTTTGGATGCGTAATTGTGATCTTTTTTTATTGCATAAGCATGATCCGGTATCGATAGTAGCCACGAGGTCCATCTGAAGTAACCTTATCATTTCAGGCTCTACAAGGAAGCTTCTTTCGCTCGCTCACTTAGTACAAACAAGAAATTTCATCCTCTTTAAACACGGTGAAAAGAATCCCGTCAAAAGCGGCGTGGAGACTGCATGTAATGAAGGGGAAAATCCCGATTTACAAACTTCACTTAAACGACTGTGACAAAAATTGTGTTTGTCGGCCTGAACAAAAACCTGCCACCTAATTCCGCGAACCAATCAGGCAGGAGGAAACTGGACCACGAAGCAAGAAGGAGGCGGACCAATAATAATAAAGGAGGAACAAGTCTGTCAAATTAAAGACATCCAAGGAACCAGCCAGGCTCAAGAATAGGGGACTCAGACGTCAAGGTCATCAAAGAAATTTCACCTCATCAGTCACGTTCACAAACCAGGCAAACGCTGGCAGAAGTAGAGGAATTTACCCGCACAACCAGCATTGACGATATCGCATCAACTGGTGTCAATCTAGCTGAACAGACTAACACGCAACGAGGAAATTTACACCCATTTTCTCCATGGTTCACATTCTGGGAAAAAATTACAGCAACAATAATGAAAAATACGGGTGGAAATGCAAAAGCCAAACTGACCAAATGAACTGTCCGAACTGGAACTCAGCGTTTCAACGAGGTTGAGGTCACTGGTCATCGACTGTCCGACTGTCGTTTAGGTCGGTTTTTGTCGTTCCCATGTTCTCACTATATGTTTGTAACTTGGCGAATATTTCAACGCAATATTGAGACCGATTGTAATGAAAAGTTGTTGCAGTGATTTGTGATACCACGGGTGGAAATGCAAAAGCCAAACTGACCAAATGAACTGTCCGAACTGGAACTCAGCGTTTCAACGAGGTTGAGGTCACTGGTCATCGACTGTCCGACTGTCGTTTAGGTCGGTTTTTATCGTTCCCATGTTCTCACTATATGTTTGTAACTTGGCGAATATTTCAACGCAATATTGAGACCGATTGTAATGAAAAGTTGTTGCAGTGATTTGTGATACCCATCGATCACTTTGGAAGTGATCCTTGTGGAAGCACCGTCAAACTGAATGTTCTCACTGTTGTAACTTTCTACGTAGCCTTCAAAACTTTTGTTTTCAGTGGGGTTACCGTTTCACATAATTGTATGCTTTGCTCCATATCGCATGCATCATAATCAGTGACATTTTTACAACCCCAGGTCAATAAGATCACAACCGAAGACCTAGAGCCTACATCCAGTCTGTCTCCGTCGGTGGTGCTTCCCACCCAGGTTCGAATATTTCGTTGTAGAAGGTGTGGGAGTTTTTGCAACCTCACAACCCATTCTATTCCCGCTCGTGTCCCAGCGCCTCTTCTTAGCAATCGAACGCGGCAAATTACTATTACCCGTAAACTATCCGGTCGATTTTGACCGCACATTCCCACATTTAAAACATCGGATAGGTAGTGGCGATCGATGTGCACTGAAACCCAACTCATATCCCTACGTCCAGTCTAAACTACTCATAAGTAGCGTATAGCTGTACAGAACAATCCACTGCACTGTCGTTAGATGTCCAAAGTATGCTTCCAAAGGTAATGCAAGTTCGATCAGGAACTTGGTTGAATATAAAGCTAGTAAACGTGTCAACACTTGTTCACGGTTCACAAGAGCAGATGCGGTTGATTTTCTGCATTTTTCGCATCTGGTTCCACCCAAACTGTGTCTGTGCCAATATCGTGAGATCGTGTGGTCGGCTGCGACTGTCAATCTCATGCTCCGAATCTGACTTATTATTCTGTTGTTTTGTCCATCTTTTCCCGTTAATGCGATCTAACTGTAAGAACAATTCAACGATTGCTTTGAATCAGATACACATTGAAGAGCGCCACAGGCTTTTCCATTTGTCCCAGCTGACTACTGCGATAGAAGTATTCTGTCCCTGTTCTATGATTACCGGCCATAACTAGAACCAGTTCCGACTCTACATTTCTCAACACGGAGCTGAAATCACTTTTTCTCTTCAGGGTGACCAGTCAACATCACCTGTCGATCTCTACAATCTTCCGTAGATTTTTCACATACTCCTCGTGTGTTCATCGTACCTTCTGTCAATCTATGATCTTTGTGCTAAGATTCATCCCTTCCATTATGGAAAAGACTACCTTTGTGAACTGACTTGATGGTGACCAAAGACGAGACACTTTGTTGTAACCAGACAAAAGCATGTCCTATTTGGTTGTGTTCTAACTTCACGGAGGATAAAGTCCAGTGCATAGACTGCAATTTCATTGCATCCCCTTGATAAATCACGAAATGAACTAATTAGTTGGTGAGGAAAATGGTCCAAAATCTTTGTTGGTTACAATTTACAGAGAATTATACGCAGTAATCTCTGAAGAGCTGTCCTAATGTAGTTGTACCAGCATCCATAAGGCGTAGGCTCAAAGGGTATTGGGGCTGTGCGATGAACAAATACGTTTACCGGCTCAGTTTCGACTCAATAGACCTAGTGATCATAGATAAAGTGCGGGTTTACCCTACTTCATAATCTAGGAGAACTCCAGATCAGTCCCCATGTTTATTATTACACAACCCGATCAGCTGAACCACAAGCTGTTTAAAGTTTTCCACAAAACTGCTGGCTATCTGTGAAAATTTTATATTTTGGAGAACAGAACAGACCTATTGTTTAGATTGTCTGTTCTTTCATTAGGTCTCCTTTCGAATTTAAAATAAGTATTGAACAAAACAAACCAAAGTATTGAGTGCAAAAAAGTTCAAAACCCCGTTCACCCTCACATCAAACAGCTTGTCGAAAAATATTCACGTATAGTTCCAGTCGGCGCTTGTACTTTTGATGAAGTTCTGGCATGGTTCTCCTATATCTCATCGTACTGGCGATGCCCGTGAACGCCAGAGATGACCTTTCTAAGATTGTGTTCACTGAAATGGAGAAATTGCAAAGAAAGTCATGTTTCTACTGAACTATATTTGGTGTTTCGTTGCAATGTTGTAATAGTGCAAAGCTCTTACATTTGATTGATAGAGGTTGTCCCCCGCTACGAGAGGCCACTCCCGACTAAGAGCAGTAAGACTGTTCACAGTGGGTTTTCTGTGTTCGAGAGAAATGATGTGTTATCGGCTTCATTGGCAGCTGAGGATTTCCTACTTTCTCCCTTATAATGCTAATACTGCTGAGCTTGATTTTTACCACAGTATTTCGCAAGTCTATTTAGAATAGTAAAAAGGTTTGCTTACGACGAAACCACTGGAAATGATGTCGTAAGTACGTAAAAGTGCCCAACTCTGATGAGTAAATTGTCGGCCCAGATAAGGGTTCATGAACTGCCATTTCGGCGACCTAGATTCGGACTTCACAAGAGTAACTTCAAGAATTTTTCGGTCGCCTTCCAGAGAGTCTCTAACTATGCATCACGAATTGGGCAGCGAGATGACCCAAGTGGTTAGAGCGCGTATTTACTGACCGGAAGGTCCGTGGTTCGAACCCGACCTCGGCCTCTCAACCTCCCCTGTCTAGGCATGGGCAACCTGGCAGTATCCCAGCCCTCGGGTAACCTTCGGGTAGCGTGGAAGTTAGGTACCAAAAGGGTGCTACAGCTGAACAAAGCGAAGCGAAGGAAATCATGAATGGAGATGTCACAGGAACCGGCTTGAATTCCTCAGTCTTTTGGGCTACGTAGGATATATTTCCAGTATTACAGGATATTTCCTTTTTAAAAGACCACAATACCTTTACAGTTATGTAACACTGTCCGCAAGCCCGGCATCTGTTTCATCCTCAGATAGGGGCCGATCTGATGAGATCCCATAAAAGCGAAGGCTTTTGGGCGTCGTGGGAGTTTTCAGCAACTTTGAGTAGTGATTTCCATCAATAAAATACACCCAAATATGTCAAATAACGCACGAAAAGAAACAAAAATTGGAGCTTGTGCTGAACATTTGACCAAAGAATATATAAAACAAGTACATATGAGTCCGTGGCCAACACAAATTCAGTTGCCGATTGCATGCATTTTTGTCTATATGGCTGTTTGCTTGCTTTAGTGCTGCTTGGTAACCATAGTGTAACTTACGTATGGAGTTGTAACCTCCTGAAGCGATCCTAATTTGAAAAAGATGGTCCATGCACCTTTAATAGCGACCAACTACTGGATCAAAACTTATGTTGAGCCACTCTTCCCGAATCAATGGAAAGTATCTAAGATGTAGGCAAGTCTCTCATGCCTCCTTAGCTAGTGATCTATCAACTTCCGGTAACAGCTTTGATATTCGGTTCTCGAGAGACCGTTTTCAGAGGATAATGTCTGGATGAAAACGATATTGGATTAAAAGCGGGTCCTTTCGTTGCTTGATAATCACTCTGAAAATCAACCAATGTGTAGTCTCACTGTTTTAATATTGATGGAACAACAGGTCTAATGACTAACTCACTGGTTCTCATCTCTGGGTTGCACCTTTCTACCGGAAAAGGAAGATTGTATGTGGTTTCAGTTCTACTGTTCGTCAAAGGCTTCGGTTTCGCTTATCTCGTGTACAAACGATTTGACTGAACAACTGAACCCGTAATGTCATTATGTTAACTGCTTCCACAATTATCCTCTGGATTTTCCCACTAAAGTCTTAACAGTCGTAATTCTCTGTCGTTCTCCAAGAGCGGCTAACAAATCAATAAGTAGGAAATCACAAAATGCCAGATGCTGTGCAACGACCTCATAATAATAACAGACTTTTAGAAAGGTCGCAGACAGGCAACGTGAAGGTTGTTGTGAAGGTTGTTTTTCGCTCCACGAAAGCAGACAAAGTCGGACATTTTCTGTAAATCACAGTACGTGAAAGGAACAGATATTAATCATCCTTCTAACCTGACAGTAACTATCTTTGATCTGGTGTCCAAGTATTGATTTTTTGATCAAACATTTATGAACACCATCCCACGTTACTTTGCGTTATCTGTTAATACGAACTGACATGTTGTTCAAATGTTCGAATGTGTACTGTTCTGTAATTCTTCAACAGACACATCAACAAAACAGGTTGAACTTGGCCGTTTATCCCATCTAACCAAATGTTTGCATACTGTCAAAAATCAAGAGTAGGGCAGCATAACAGACAGATAATTTGACAAACAAACTTGCATAGGCCAGTGATATCCCTGCAGCGAGCAAAAATGGTCGGATGATGATGAGATGTGCTTAGAATTTAAATTCAGTCTATCATGTCACGGTGTTTTATCTTGCTCCCCATAAGTTATTCTTAGGTAGTACTAGACCTACTAGTAAACAATACGTCGATTTATTCATACATGCCGTCAGTTTCTGAACACTACTGCAGCTTTTTTCCAATAGGACCAAGTGACCGAGGTCCCACAAAAATTATGCGTAACTGGTACTTCGTCAAATGCACCTTCGCTGAATAAGGTAATATCTCTCTCCCACCGAACAGGGAATGGACAGATGTTAGTCAGCTGACGTCATGGGAATTGTGGCATTGCCTGCGACCCCCGCGTGGGTTAGTTTTCAGCCATCACGATATCACGACATCACGTAATAACGAAACCAGTGAAACTGTGTAGGATAGTTGACTCATCTCCGGAGTGAGGTGAGACTCACGCAGTATGTTTGGTTTTTGGTTTGTTCCGCGAACTTGGTAGTTGGACTGCAAACGTTTCATCACCAATCAAGGTGACATTCTCAGTGTGGGATTAAGTGAGTTCTATCCATACCTTGCTCTCAAAGTGCGTCTACTGACGGCGTTTATAGTGACATTGCTGAAAATGATCATGCTAGTGAGGATATTGACGATGAGCGACGAATAAAGGTTGAATGATGTCGAAGTGAACGTAAGTCATTTAAAAAGTTCCAAGTTGGTTCCAGAAACAGATAATATGCTAAACAACCATGAATTATTGTTACTTGATCAACCCAATCTTTTTCAATGTATCAGGTAAATGTCAGTACAGGTCACCAGTCAGGTGCTATACTGCGCGCAAACTCTGGTTAGTTTGATTAGTTTTATGCTTCGTCAAACGCTGTCACGAAAATAAACAGTCTTAAAGTTATGATGAATCACAGAGAACTAGCTGTATAAACGACTATCGTGCTCCGATCGAAACAGCTCACACATGGCCACCTGCCATCCTCACCACTACAATATGCCAGCTTTTTTTGCTAGGAAGTAAAAAGTGCGTTTTGTTCTCGCGGCAAAATGCAAACAACACCTTTTTCATACAGTTGCGGATATAACTAATCTTGTGTTTTCCCTTAGTGCCACTAAAATCATCAGTACTTGAAGAAAAACTGATTTTCTGGTCACTAATAAAAGACCAAATCTTTGAAAAATTGTCTTAATTAGTGTCACTTCATGAGATCCTTTCATTGGTTCTCATGCAAAAGTATTGCACCAGTCTTTCCCACCGGTGTATTCCTGCTGATGATGGTGGTGATGATGACAAGGATAATGATACCAGTGATAACGATGATGGCATTCCTTTATTGAAAGAAATTCTGTGAGATCATTCCAGATAACTTCCGGTGTAGTGTTCAGAGGGGCGAGATGGCTCAAGTGGTGAGAGCGCGAATTTACCGACGGAAGGCCCGTGGTTCGAATTCGACCTCCGCGTCTCGACTTCCCCTGTCAAGGCTTGGGCAACCTGGCGGTATCCCGACCCTCGTGCTTCCTTCGGGTGGCATGGCAGCTAGGCGCTCATGTTCTCATGTCGCTCATGTTTACTAATTCACTCGTAGAACACGACAAAATACATCCTATGTTAAAATATCTCAACCTTTTGAGGGCTCCTTTCGCCAGCCGGTTGCTGATCAGATGGATTTCTCTGGGAATGGAAATCACAATAGTAGGAAAATAAACAATAACATCAACAGAGAGCGAAATGTGTTGTCCATAACAACCGCATAAAATAATAAACATTTTTATTATACTCAAGACATGGAGGGAAACGGGCAGGATGACTTCTTGACTTTCTTCAACCTGGAGAACGATCGCGAGACCTCAGCCGATTTATCGAACAAAAATTGTTATCTGCCAACAATGGTATGAGCAATAGTTACTCAGGGAATCTCGGAGGAAATAAAGTGAGATGAAATTCTTAGATTTGGCTATTTTGGAGAAAACAGTCAATTTTGAAAACGGTAAAAGTAACATGAAGGAAACATTAGAAATATAACGTACGGTGGATCGGGTGAGACACAGAAGCTAATTCGAGGATCTGTGTGTACGTTAGGGATGAGAGCAGAGGGCAGACGGTGGTCAAATGTGGTAAAACTCTCCTTGATAAAGCAAAAGATGCATGATGCTTTTCCTGCTGATGATGGTGGTGATGATGACAAGGATAATGATACCAGTGATAACGATGATGGCATTCCTTTATTGAAAGAAATTCTGTGAGATCATTCCAGATAACTTCCGGTGTAGTGTTCAGAGGGGCGAGATGGCTCAAGTGGTGAGAGCGCGAATTTACCGACGGAAGGCCCGTGGTTCGAATTCGACCTCCGCGTCTCGACTTCCCCTGTCAAGGCTTGGGCAACCTGGCGGTATCCCGACCCTCGTGCTTCCTTCGGGTGGCATGGCAGCTAGGCGCTCATGTTCTCATGTCGCTCATGTTTACTAATTCACTCGTAGAACACGACAAAATACATCCTATGTTAAAATATCTCAACCTTTTGAGGGCTCCTTTCGCCACCCGGTTGCTGATCAGATGGATTTCTCTGGGAATGGAAATCACAATAGTAGGAAAATAAACAATAACATCAACAGAGAGCGAAATGTGTTGTCCATAACAACCGCATAAAATAATAAACATTTTTATTATACTCAAGACATGGAGGGAAACGGGCAGGATGACTTCTTGACTTTCTTCAACCTGGAGAACGATCGCGAGACCTCAGCCGATTTATCGAACAAAAATTGTTATCTGCCAACAATGGTATGAGCAATAGTTACTCAGGGAATCTCGGAGGAAATAAAGTGAGATGAAATTCTTAGATTTGGCTATTTTGGAGAAAACAGTCAATTTTGAAAACGGTAAAAGTAACATGAAGGAAACATTAGAAATATAACGTACGGTGGATCGGGTGAGACACAGAAGCTAATTCGAGGATCTGTGTGTACGTTAGGGATGAAAGCAGAGGGCAGACGGTGGTCAAATGTGGTAAAACTCTCCTTGATAAAGCAAAAGATGCATGATGCTTTTCACAGAACGAATCACATATCGAATGGTAAGAATAGCAATCCGCTCCTTTCGGCTGAACGACACCTCAAAATGCAGTTACATTGGCCAACCCTGCTGAGGTTGCGTAGCACTACTCATTGTGATTCGAAGGCTCTGTTAACTAGGCGAGTGATGATATAATACAGATGATAGCTCAGAGGACGAAGAATACTGTCAGAAGTAAACCACAGGCCACAGTCCGCTGTCTTGGTGACCAGCAGCAGCCGGAGCAGGCAAAGCACAATATTGACCGCAATGTGGTCAGGAAGTTCATCCCCGTTTAAGTTAACAACCTCTGACCAACTTGACTGATTACAGTTTGGAGATAATTTGTTGTGCCAATGCATAGATTAAATGTGTAGCGGAAATATGCGAACATACTGAGTGGCGAATTGTTGTACATAAGTTTCTACATTGTTGTTACATTTGCTATCTATGGTCTGATCGCGAGCGGGAAATCGGGAATTGATAGGCCAGTCGTATAAACAGTGTCAGTTCTTTGGAAATCTTGTCTCATCTCCGATTTGACTCCAAAGGTAGATGAGTCGAGTACCTGACATTCAGGTTCATTTCTTCGAGCTATGAAGACAACCTATCCTGATTTAAGAGCGGACTTACTCACAGGTAGAAAAATTACCAATAATAGTAGTCAAAATCTAGGCACACCGCTCTACCTCAGTTTTATTATCTTCGTTCCAATCGGTTAGCAAGAGAGCTCTCGTTTCACACTGCCACTTTCTTCGCACATTATGAGGACTAGGAGGAGATGCTTTTTCTATTCTTTTTCTCAGATACTCTCTTTTGTACCTATCGCACCAATCTATGGAGTGGGAATAGATATCCAGCAGCGTACTTTTCAAGTAGCCCACTTTGTCAGTAAACAGAATCGGGGATCTATTCTACGTCAGTGAGCCATGATCTACCCACTCTGAACACTCCAAGAGAGAACGTGAACGGCTCACAACTTTCTTGTCTTGAAGAGAAAGGGACTTCCAACAATAACCTGGCCGGTTCACTAGAATTCCAAATGCGAACTAGGTGGAAATGGACACTTCAGATATATACCGACCCTCGAGAGAACCTCTTTGGAAAGGTTCATGGGGCTTCCTCAACGTGGTGTGTTTCTTCTTAGGTCTTGACGAATGGGAACCACTTCGCATCCTTATAGAACTGCTTGTATAGAGTGTGACCGGGTGTTTATTTTAACGACTATTTTGGGATGGGATTTCTTCTTAAACCTCTAGGGACCGCTTCAGATATGCTAAACCATTGTTCACACATTAATGCAACGTGATCGTCGCCAGTCTGTTCCATCTGGGTCAATGGGAACACGAGATCTGTTTCGTCTGCTTGAAGTTGAATAAAAACCAATACGTTGATTAACGTGTAATGAAGACGTGCCTTCATGTCGCGCCCAAAACAGTCGATAATGATAGGAACATCATATGCTTTTGCATCGTAGATCTTACCCCAATCCGATCAATCGATAGAGTAGTTGTAAGGCTTTCAACGAAGTAACGTCCAAGAATAAATTGTCAACCCACCAAATCAAGCTCATCCTAAAACAGTAAGCCTAAAATACAGGCAAATTTAATGGTTTTGTTCGCCTCATGAAATTTTTGAACTGACAGCCCACCAGAAAATATGGACTAATGAACTGGGATATGTAGATTGTGTTTTCAAGTGATTGACTCCACCCGGGAAAGTCATGAGAAGAATAAAGGTGGCAAACAAAGCTCGTTTAACCTGATTGTTTCCTCTTGATTCATAGATCACAAACGTATTTGATACAAAAAACCACCTGGGAAAATGTGAAAATCAGCAGTGGCTATACTTCAGTAGGGGTAAGGGAGACGAGTGGGAGTTATATAGGCCAACGGCCTACGGAATCAAGCGAATGACTCCAATATTAGACACGTTTGTGAGACCGGATTTTTAGCAGACCAGCTCAAGTTCATAAATCGCACAAGTTTATTTTGGACGCAAATTTGTGGGTCATGCAGTCTGATTTCAATCGCCTCCGCGATCGACAGTATTCCGGATCGTACCAGCCGTGATAGAGGTACTCGGTATATGATATCGATGGCGTGCTCCTTGTTGGTTGTATGACTAGTTTCTCCCAGTTACCACTCACAGACAGGGGCTTACGTTCTCGACTTACTTCCCACAATTGCCTTGTCGTATTACGACGTATGGTGCTCGCCACGAATATTGTTATTCCTTTTCCTGTGTAGTAAGTCAGTTGTCTGGACAAACAAAACGTCTCCTCAGTTCTGCAGAGTTGGGCCTCTCGCGTAAACAATACAAGCGAAAAACATTGCGTGCTTCATTGATTGTCATATCAGTGGGAGAAGAAATCTTATGGAGGGCAGATATGCAGTATGTTATGGGCAAACGTGTACCTCCTTTGAACGCAGATTTGGAATGGCCTATTTTGGGTCTTCAAACCTATGCTTTACTCATCCAGGCATGTTTACCAGAAGAAAGCAACAAACGAATAATTTAGGTCCAATAATTGACGAGCATTTGGGCCAGGGACTACGAGCACACATGCAGCCCTCTTTGAATATTTCGCAGTGTTTTATCTGTGAGTCTTGTGTAAGGAAACTTCATAGCTGTGAGAAACCTGTTGTTTTTATCATTAATGGCAATCCACCACACCGTGTCAAGGCAAAAACCGAGTGAAACCTACCGATGGCACTGCTGGGTTAAAAAAAACGGCAAAATCTGCGTACATCTTGCATGATTACAATCATTTCGGCCATCCGTCTTTTTCAAACATCTCCAGTCGCTCCTAACCGGAGCCACTCATACTCGGAATCCATACAGTCACAGAACAGGCACGAGCTGTGGAGCTTGGGTGCCAACCCATAGAAATATCACTAAATATCATTCAGTGCATTCAGATCACTCTCCAAGGCAACGTTGTGGATGAATCAGCTTTGTATGGGTAGCACGAAAGGACGGATTTGCTTCACACGATGGGCTTTGACTTTGCACTTCGTGCTGGTCCTGATGTCAGTTGTGAGCGACTTTCAGTAGCAGCAAGCTGGTCGATAACTCATCTGACTGAAAAAGAATGACGCACGATTTACCACTGTCAATGCCTGAACAAGAAAGCTTGTTTAACCATATCGAGAATGGTAACTATCAAGCCCATTGTATAGAAAAGACCAAGAGGACCCAAATTCACATACTACTGTCATATGTAACCAGGTGATGAGCATATTTTGCGATCCCGCTGGATCACGCATGATGCCAGATGTGCTCGTCATAAGTGTGGAATGAGAAGAAGCAGAAGTATGGTGCTGATGAACATTCCCTCGCCATAATCTCAGCCCTACATGCCATCGGTTGTGATATCGACTTTTTGGTTCACCAACCGATGATCATCTCTTATCGAGGGATCTGCTTTCCTCAATCCGCTAAGGCTGTTATTGGACTGGGACTTCCTAAGGTCGCAGTCAGTGACTT